TTATAAAACCCCTTACCCTGTCAGCAGTTTACTTTCACTCAAATACGTACGGTAACGAGCAGAAATATACGCGGTTTTCTAGGGTTTCTGTTTTTTTTTGGTCAAAACCTAGTCACTTTTAGGAGACTTCCTAAAATTTCAATGATGGAAAACAGGTAGATTTCAGTTGGTCGGCATTTTTTTACTGAACCGAGGAGAAAGCAAAAATTGGAAAAAAAAACAAAAATTTACTGAAATTTGCAGTAGTAACCGAATTAACTTACTTTTGCAAAATTCGCACAATTTAACAGAATAACCAACTGCGGAACATTTATTGTTGTTGATTGTTGTGTAGTTGATTATTCAGTCGAATTACAAGCATTTTGTGCTTATTTCAGATTGGTGTCATTAATATGATTTGTAAATCAAATTATTTCCCCAATCTGTGCTCTCATCACAAGGATATGCCGGTTAAGTGAACAAATCTTAATTTCAAAAAATGAGAAATTCAGAAGATTCTCCCCCTTACATCAAGTGTTTATTATTTGCCACGGCTGTAGTAATTAGTAAGGTCTGTTTCGTGGAGACGCGAGCGTGGGGTATGCTCAAAACAATACAAATTGGAAAACTACAGAGCAATGCATCTCCTTCTGGAGGCAGTCCTGTTGAAATGCCACGAAGTTATACGAATAAAAATAAAAGATAATAAAAGTAAAAAATAAGTCTGATGGAAAAGGACAAATTCCGGAGAAAATGAAAATTTACTTCTCTCGGGTATCCGACAGGAAGCCCGTCGGGCGACAAGAAGGCAGAGTCAGCGCGATTCACCGCTATACTTATTTGATTTTCGCGTCAAGTTAGGAAGAGTGTGCCATTTCGCGCCCTACATCGCACAGCACGCGCTGCGACTCCCGCTGACTCTGCCTTCTGTCGCGCGACAGGCTACCTCCCGGGTGTGGTTCACTAGGACAGAAAGCGACTTTTTCGCGTTTCGCAGCGCGAAACATTTTCCGCTGCGGGAACCTCAGGTCCACCGCTGATCATCAGTGGACCCGAGGTTCCCGCAGCGAATCATCAGTGGACCCGAGATTCCCGCAACGAACAATGTTTCGCGCTGCGAAACGCGAAAAGTCGCTTTCTGTCCTAGTGAACCACACCCCTGGGGCGGTATTCAATCCTTCCCCCAGGGGGATATATCCCCCTCCTCTGATTCAATCCTCTGGGGGACAAAAAAGGGTTGCGTCATAGGACCTAGCATACCTCTGTGTTTCTACCTGCCAGACAGCAGGGTGAATATCGGTCGAGGAAATCCTCGACAGGGGGGTCGTACCTGTTGGGCTGGTCCATGGGGGGTCGTACTCTTGGGGGTCAGTAACAGAAGTGGTATCATGGTGCAGATAGGTAATAGGGTATAGCGCAGCAGAAAATGAAAACATCCGAAAAAAACATGATATTAAATTTTCTTTGCAGGTTCAGTCGCTCCATTCCTCCACCTTCATGAGAAGGGCGTATTTGAAGGCAGTACAAAGAATGAAAGTGCATCCCCGCAAAGAAGACTGCCACATGTGCGCACGCGCTGCAAAGGCACCTCCTCCTTCTCCCTTAATACCTCGCTGAGAATGACGCTGTTGTTAGGGACCCTGTCGGAAAAACGACAACCGTGAAGAAAAAGCGCTGGGCAAATGAAGTTGTTTTTTAGGTTACAGGAATAGCACAACACACTATGTCTACTACAATACAGTTTCGTTCGAAGGTCCCCATCATATAACACCTTTCAATCGATTCTGCAACTGTGAGTGGAGGAGGGATGCATGGCTTATACCAATACCAAATCGGATGATGACGATTGCTCCTATTCTTATTGTTTGCGTTCAAAGATATTGTTCTAGACACATTCCGAGTGTTGCCAACGAGTCACACTTGCAATGGTGAATGAGGGAGCGGATTTCCAGGTGGCCGGATCCGACCTCGATAGATCCTCGACGCAATTATCTCTTCAACCAAAAAGCTGTAGAAGAAAACTAAACAGACCATCAGGAAGCGCAAAACCTTCCGCTTTCCAAAACTATCTTCCCTTTTTCAGGATCTTACAATATAAGAGATATATTGCTCTTGAAGTGGCAAAAACTCGCGTGAAAATTTCGGCCTCCTCGACATTTACTCGACGAAATTTGACAGACCCTATCTTTCTGCAAGGAAGGCTTCCAGAGCAATTTCGATGCTTGTTGGAAACGCGAAATCCAGCTCTATCTAACTCTACCTCAAGCTGCTTCAAAGGTTGTGAAATGGAGGAATGCAACCTTTTCATCGAGGGTGTAGATTCGGACGTTTTTTTTTGAAATTTCGGCAAATCTGACCCAGTGACAATCGCGCCGCAGCTGCCGTTGAATCGGCCTTTGATACACTCGGCTGTTTTGATATACTCAAGCAAGAATCAAGATTGAATCGCAACCCCGTGTCTTCAGGATTTCTGTGCGTTTCTGAACGAACCTCGCCTTGAGGTCACACAAAGTTAATGCCTCTTTCCTCGAGTCGATATTTCAGTATGTACACAAAAGTATGCAGCGATGGAAGACGTGCATAGATGACAAGATGAAGCGTCCTTAGCATTATTTTGCAGAATTTTTTTTGATTTGTTTTGCAGGATTTATTTTAATTGAATTAATTTGCTCTGTTAGAGGGGGTCGTGCCAGGATCTCGATTTCGGGGGGGGGGTCGTACCTCTGCGACCACGTACTCGACACGATTTTCACCCTGCCAGACAGTTAGAGCAGCGCTACTACCCTCCACTGATGAAGCACTCTTTCCCCTGAGGGGTCGCGCTGCTCTAACTGTCTGGCAGGTAGAAACACAGAGGTATGCGAGGTCCTATGACGCAACCCTTTTTTGTCCCCCCAGAGGATTGAATCAGAGTAGGGGGATATATCCCCCTGGGGGAGGGTGCTAACTTTAGTGGGGGGGGCCACGCGGCGGCGCGGCAGTCTGCTCGCCTGGCATGTTCGGAAATCCGTGGGCCAGGGGGAGTGTAGCCAGTTCTAGGGGGGTTGGGGGGTGGGGGGGCAGTCACTTGACATGCGTGAAAAGCTGGAATGTTCGAGTTTACACTGTCTCGTTCGAGAGAGCCCAGGTGAGCAGACTGCCGCGCCGCCGCGTGGCCCCCCCCAACTAAGTTAGCACCGAGAGGAATAATTACCGCCCCTGGACCCCCCCCCCCACCCCGCGAAGCCCGTATTGCACTGGGCTTTATAAAGGCTCCATAACACCTGTATAAAACACGTTCACTACTGCTCGTCACTACAGAGCAGCCATCTGTTATTGTTGAAGGCCGGCTAGGCTATGCGGTAGATAGTGCATATTATTGTTCGTTATACACCCTCTATAGGATCGTGAAGCGCGGGTAGGGGGGGAGGGGGGGTGAAGGTACCACCCACGCTTGAACTGTCGCCAATTATACTGTGCAATGTCTGCGACTGAAACTCAATGGCTCATCTACATTGTCAGTTTTTGTACATTTTTTTGTCAGTTTTTTCTGTTCCATTTTTCATTTTGTGCTCACATTTCGAACTCTTGTTTTCATTTCATTTTTTAAAGTTCCCATTCAAATAGTAGTTTCAGCAAGCTATACCCTTTCCATTGAGGGCACCAGGGTTATCTCTATTTGTTTATCCTCGAATGTAACTCATTGAATGGGGAAACTTGAACAAAATTTGTTGTACAAGTTTGTAGGTAGCCTTTTATCATTCTTATTCGTTGTTCTGTATTGCCTCGATTGCTTATGGACTTCCACTTTTCCTAAAGATCCACTTCCTTGTATGTCCCAAAGTATGGTTGCATATAAACATTAGTTAAATCGTCAGGAGTGCTTCACAAAGATTCAGATTTGACGAGATCTGAATGACTTCTTTAAAGCGTCTGTAGCCCATTCGTTGTGTAGGTGACATAGAAAATGTGCGGCGTAACCATAAAACGATGCGGCAGCTGGCTGAAGCTTGCCAGGAAAGGACGATGCGTCGAAATGGCCGTGTGCAATGATACCTACACTGTTGGATGTGTTTTCGAACGCTGACCTCGAATCAGTTGATATTAGCCAAGTCGATTTTTCCGAACGGAGCTATGAAGCAAAATATAGCAGCCGTAGTGCTCGCTAACGGGCGAGAGGTTGTTTTGCCGGTTCCCATTTGCCTCCAATGCAACAGGGTTGAAAATTCTTTCAACTACGTTACTTCAGCGCTTGCCTATAGTCAAATCTACAAAGATTTGTAAGGAGTTTACCAAGTCTGGGGCTACCTGCTAGCGACAGCACATGGAGCTCGTAGAACTTTCGACAGACGTTTTGCAGCAGACAGGTGTGGTAACCGTGTTTCGGAAATAAATTCCCTAGAGCGAATCTCTCGCCAAACCACCCGCCAGGGAATCGATCCTACGACCTCTCGCTTGTGAGTCCTGACCACTACCACAGCTCCATGCTTCATAACTCCGTTCAGAAAATCGACTGGCAGATTTCGAAAACATATTTGTCCAAACATCACATTCAACAGTGGAAATCTCATGGCATGCGGCGGCGCAATGTGGCTCGGGGGGCCACTCTGAAAAAAGTCATCTAGGACTAAGCCTAAACAGCAGGGACGAACTCCGGAGAATACGAAAATTGCTTCCGTACACCGGAGTTCCTCTCCTCTTCAAAAGCTTAGTCCTAAACGGAGCGTTTCCGTGATTTTGACGCGATGTTGCGAGGTGCCCCCCCCCCCGAGCCACATTGCGCCCATGCGGCTTCTTCAACCTATTATCTTTTCCTGGTTAGCTGTCAATTATACAATTTTGTGCGCATTTTATTAGTACTCTTCGATGAAGTGAACACAGCTGCCTCCATTTTCGCATGGACTCTTTTGAAATGAATGCTTTCCTATTTTGTCGCCATTTCTCGTTTGCTGAGCGTTCGGTGAATGCCATTATATCGTCATCCCTGCATGCTCTTCTTTAAAACGTACTTTTTCCATCGACTGAATCGTTTTAGTTTTAGAATGGCAGAAGTTCCATCAACTGCTAAACGCACAAGACTGGTACCGATCCAACCCGACGGTGGGTGGGGTTGGGTGGTTGTGATGGGCACATTTTTTATACATGTGGTCGCTGACGGCTTTGTGTATTCATTTGGTGTACTTGTCGATGTGCTGATGAAAGTAAGTTTGTGTATTTGAGATAGGCTTTTCGAGAATGCATTGAAATAGAACACATCACATTCAATAACCGCTATGGTTCTGAATGGAAGTGGGATGTGTGCCGCACAATACTCGCGGGATGCTGCGCCGGCGCTGTCGATTTAGAAAAAGATTGATCAATACCGGATGCTTAATGGCCTGTGTTCACGTTTGGCATGAATTTAATATTATGACTACGGGTTTCGGGAAACCTGCAAGGGAAAGTGGCCTCGTTTCTGAACTTTAGATGTGACCGATCTGACCTTGCAACCAAGCTTATGGTTGGTGAACATACCAGTAATCGGAAAAGATGGTTGATCGTGAGCGACCAAGTAATTGTGCATTCCAGTCAGGTGATTTTCGAATTGTGCTTGAACGCAGTCGCGATTGCAATCGCGAAGTGTGGGAGTCACTTTACGTGCGTGACAAATTGGTAAGTGCGTGTTTGCACATCTCGCTGAGAGGGCGTAGACAATTGACGGCGGCGAGTGTAGTTGTGAGGCTTTGTAGCACAATGATTTCTCCCTGGAGCGGTAATCCGATTTTTTGTGAAGAAAGGAGTTCCGTAAGAGTATTTATTTTCTTATGCAAAATGGAATCTGAGTGAGTGTGAATGAAAAACTGTAATGGTTCGGAATGATCGTGTTTGAGGAGGAGCTAAGCCCTCCTTCTCAAGCAAGTATGTTCGAGTCTACCATGGTTCTCTTTCAGGAGTTTGAATCGGACAATACCGTAATTGCAATGATTGTCTCTCTCCTTACCGGCTTCACACTCGGGAGCGGTCCGTTAGCATCAGCTGTGTGTAACAAATATGGTTGTCGAGCAACGGCAATCATGGGGGCTATCATTGCTATTACAGGGTACGTGTTTTCGTGATTATCGTGATTGATAAAATTTGTTGGCTTTATGGATCGCTAGCCAAACGTTGTGCACATGGTTCAACTTTTGGGTATATTTCTCTCAATATGATTCTTTTCAAAAGTATCTTTACATTCGTAGATGCACTGCATCATACTTCGCATCGGAGATGTGGCACATCATTGTCTCTGTGGGAATTATTATGGGTATTGGATCAGGTTTCATGTATTGTCCTGCAATCGTCATCGTAACAATGTATTTCGAAAAGTAGGTCAATATGTTGTAAATAAAACTGCAAGTAGAAGATAGAAGTATGACACTGTAGTGGAAGAGATAAGAGTTGGATGCTTTTTTTCCATTTTAAAATGCAATTTTTTTAGTTTCCTAGTCATAACAAAAGCTTGGGTTGGAAACTCACTGTTCACAAGCGACAGATCTTTATTGAACCTAGTCATTGTCGTTTAGGCGCCGGTCTTTAGCCACGGGAATTGCTGTTACCGGAGCTGGAGTAGGTACAATGGTGTTCTCACCCATCAACGATTATGTCATGAGTCGATATGGTTGGAGAGCCGTCTTCCTCGTATTTAATGGTCAGCAACTGAGTTAGAAGTCACTAGGCGCTGCCCATACCCAGCAGGCGTGCAAATACCCATCTTCGTACAATTGTACATGGTTTACAGCCTATCTCAATTCTCTCAACTCTTTGACGGCAATGCAGATTTGCACGCAGAGAGCTCGTGGAAAACTAGAATTTCATGCGCCCAGCAGAGTCAACCCTGCGTTGCGCAGTTCTCAACGGCCACGTTGCGCAGTTTCGCCCGATTAGACACGTTCTCTCGCGCGAACATTCACACTCGCATGCTCGAGCCGTCTGTGTCTCCGCCCATACAGCGTGCGTTGAGGATCTCTCAACGTGCCGTTGCGAACTGCGCAACGCAGGGTTGACTCTGCATACAGTAGAATTTTTCCTACAGTTCAAACCCGTATCTTCGTCTGAAGACTATGAAAGACGAATAAGTCTTGATCGCTGATTAACACAATTTATGCGGAACTCCAGTTAAAATGCCAGAGAACATAATGGCACATTTATATTTCATAAATTATATCTTGCTGCTCATTTCT